ATCATTCATAAATTGAAAAAGAAACCTTTCAATAGCTTCAACACTTTGTAATCCTTGTACAATAATCTATATGATTTTCTCAAATTTGATTCTTCGACATGAACAATTCACTTACTCCACTAAAAAAAAGTGAAGTTTATATTGTCCCAAACACCATCAAAAAAATATTAACATAATTTATGTTCCTTCATAAAATTATTCTTGTAAACTATTCTACCAGATTTAAATATAATATGTTGTTGGTTACTATGTAAATACCTTTTATATACGGGGTGTTAAAATTTAAAAATATAAATATTTTTTAGAAAGGTTAAAATTTAAATATTTGTAGGGACAATATATATTACTATAAACTCTACAGGTTTCTTACATTGTAACTAGGCAGGGTTTAGATTAGAGTGAATTATAATGAGAATCAGTTAGTGATGAAAAAACAACTCCTAAGATAATCTTGCTTTACTTTTTGGGTTTAAAAGTTGTTTTAACTCTCACCTTGAAACATATTCTTTGAACTCGGTCACCTCTTTTGAATTTGATTTGATTCAAAGTCAAGTGAAACCCCTTTAATCAGCAACAACAAAAGCACAAGTGGCAAGAAAAACCCTAAGTGGTAGATAAATATGTTTACTATTATTACTATTATAATTATTATTGTATTAAATATTTGTTACACATCAACCTTTACTTACATGTATATATATATAACTGATACACTTCACTTTGATTCAAACATCCTAAGGTCTTTTTTTACTCTGATCTTCTTTGTGAGTGACTTAAAATGGTTTCCACTCCTCCTAAGGTAATTCCAAGTTAGTGTGTATATTACTATGTATAAAATGTTTTTTTTTTTGGTGCATGGTTTAATGCACTAGTTTTTGACAATGTTAACACAATTCAAATACATGATTAATTTGTATCTTTCATAATTGCAGGTCATTCAATCAGAACAAAAAGGGGTGGTTATCGTCCCCGCCCGTCGAGCCAAATGGTGGTACTCGACTTTCCACACGGTGACAGCCATGATAGGTGCTGGTGTTCTCAGCTTGCCATATGCCATGGCCTATCTAGGATGGTAAGTTAATGAAGTAGTTTCATCCAAAAAAATGTTTTGGCAACTTGACAAATTCGTCATCGTTTAATTAAAAATATTAGACGTGTAATTATCTTTTGTCTTCAATGTAGGGGTCCAGGGATTTTGATGTTGTTACTGTCATGGTGTCTGACCTTAAACACAATGTGGCAAATGATCCAGCTACACGAATGTGTTCCGGGAACTCGCTTCGACCGATATATTGATCTCGGTAGACATGCTTTTGGACCAAAACTTGGAGCATGGATTGTTCTACCTCAGCAACTGATTGTACAAGTTGGGTGCGACGTTGTGTATATGGTTGTTGGTGGGAAGTGTCTAAAGAGTTTTGTGGAGATAGCATGCACGGATTGTGCACAAATCAAACAATCTTATTGGATTATCATTTTCGGTGGAATTCATTTTTTTCTGTCTCAGCTTCCTAATTTCAATTCTGTTGCTGGTGTTTCTTTAGCAGCAGCCGTGATGTCATTAAGGTACTTCTTGATTTCACATGTGATACATGATGAGAAAGTAAATACCATAAAACAAATAAAAGTGTGATTATCACTTCAAAAACATTTTATCTATACGTTATTATAGTATGGTTGTCTTTGAGGGCGTGCAAGACAGATTACCGCACAGAACCCAAAATTTTTCATGGTTAATAAATCGTAGTTAAATAGGGCATTATAAAAAAAATCCTGGTTAATTTGTGGTAAAATAAGACACCTATTTATTTTGTCATGATTGAACCATAGTTAACCTAGACAGGATCTCCAAAAACTTAAGCCGTCTCGTACTATTGTTTATTATGGTGTTTTGATTGCAGTTATTCAACTATAGCCTGGGTGGCTTGCTTATCTAGAGGTCGGATTGACAATGTCAGCTATTCTTACAAGAAAATCAGCAAAACTGATTTATTGTTCAGAGTCTTCAATGCACTTGGTCAAATTTCATTTGCGTTTGCTGGTCATGCAGTGACCCTTGAAATTCAGGCTACAATTCCATCAACACCTGAGAAACCTTCAAAGATACCGATGTGGAAGGGTGCTATTTGCGCTTATTTCATTAATGCAATATGTTATTTCCCAGTTGCGATCATTGGATATTGGGCTTTTGGACAAGATGTTGATGATAATGTACTTATGTCACTTAAAAGACCTTCATGGCTTATTGCCTCTGCTAACTTGATGGTATTCATCCATGTTATTGGTAGCTATCAGGTAAGTCTATGTACAAAATCAATACCTTAAATTTGTGAAAACAGGTAAAAACATGTTTACCTGTTTTCAATCTTTCTCGTACAAATTTTGAAAAAGTGAAAAATAATGTGACTAAATATATTATAGGTTTATGCGATGCCTGTTTTTGACTTGATTGAGAGGATGATGATGCAAAGATTGAACTTCCCTCCTGGTGTAGCACTTAGGCTTGTAGGTCGATCTGCTTATGTAGGTAAGATGTTAAAATTTGAGTCAAAACTAACCTATGTTCTTATTGTATAGCAAGTTCGTGCATTCACGCACTCCCTGCGTCGGTAGTCGGTGGATCACCGCTACCGAATGCATGGATTGCTTACCGCAATGAGGGATAATTATTTTCTTCAGGATAGGTCTTGATATGTTACTAAAGTTTGTTGCTATGTTACAGCTTTTACATTAATCTTTGGGATCACTTTTCCTTTCTTTGGAGATCTTCTTGGATTCTTTGGTGGATTTGGTTTTGCTCCAACTGCATATTTTGTAAGACTCTTTTGTTTTCTCAATTTCTCCACGCTTATATTTCAAATTGCCAAATTTAAATGGATTAATCTTAAAACAATCAATTATTGGCTTGTTAATTGTTTCAGCTTCCTAGCATAATGTGGCTGATAATCAAGAAGCCAAAGAGATTCAGCACCAACTGGTTCATCAATTGGGTAATAACTCAATTCACAATTAGCATCTTTTCTTTAAAATCTAACAATCCAAAATCAGAATACAATTTATGTGTATCTCATTTCAGGGTTCAATTTACATAGGTGTGTGTATTATGGTGGCATCCACAGTTGGTGGCTTAAGGAACATCATTGCTGATTCATCCACTTACAGTTTCTATACATAAACTACATGATGTTGCAACTACTCAAACTTTATCCAAGTCTACTTTTTTGTAGTATGATGAGTCATAGTTATTGTATGATTAATTTAAAAATAAAAAAAAACTCACATAAAGTAGCACTGTTGAATGCCCCGGTGTATACTATTAAATTTTAATTGCAATTTAAGTCCTTCCTACTATTTCACTGTGAAAGAATAGTTACTATTTTTATTTTTTATAATAACCATTAGAAAGAGTTCGAAATCTGAAGATGACGTTCAACTTAATAATATCCATTTTTGTATTTGTTGAGTTAGGATTGTCGACAAAATAGTCTCTATTTTTCTTAGTCAAGTAGTCTACTGGCTGAAATATTAGAAACTCAATCGCGAGTATTAGAGTTTAAACTCTGATGATGATGTTAAATCTAACAATATCGATTTTTACGTCAGTTGAGCTAGGATTTGCAAATATAATAGTCCCTATTTTTTTGGTCAAGTAATCTATGGCTGAAATATTAGAAACTCAATCGTGAGTATCATCAAAGTTCGAACTCTGGTGGCAATCTAACAATATCGACTTTTGTGTCCGTTGAGTTGGAATTTGCCGATAAAATTGTTCCTATTTTTTCGTGAAATAGTCTAGTGGCTGAAATATTAAAAACGCAACTGTATGTATCAAGAATTTGAACTCCGGGTGATGACGTTCAACTTAACAATACTGACATTTGTGTCTGTTGAACTAGGATTTACAAATAGAATAATCCTTTTTTTTTGTCAACTACTCCCTCCGTCTCACAATAAGTGTCATTTTTGACATTTTCATATTTTTTATAATAATGATTAATTATGTTGATTTCAATGATAAAATGAGTCTCATTTACTAAAATAATCTTATTAATAATAGGTAGTGGAGTAGTTATATGAATTGGAATACAATAAATAAGTGTAAATTAGTGGGAAAAAATAAAAATAAATATCACATTTGTATTCTAAAAGGACAAATGATTTGAGACAAATAAAAATAGGAAAGATATCACATTTGTACTTCTACCGTCTCATAATAAATGTCACATTTGCACTTTTTCTATTTCTAAAATTAAATATCTCTTTAGAATACCAATATAACATTTATTATATTTTTCCACTATTATACCCCTATTTATTAATTTTCATGTTTTTCAACTATTTCATTAATTATACCACCTCAGTCCCTTAACTATAAGACTCTGTAGAATAGATTATTTGAATTAAGAAAGTTTGTTAGAATAATAATTTTTTTGACAATTTTGTATAATTTTACAAGTTTATCTTTATGAGAGAAATATTTAATATATATGTAACTGTATTTATTACATATCGCTGAAAAATATGAAATATAATTAGGAGTATGTTTGAAAAAAATAATTAATGTACTTTTAAATTTAAAAGTTAAAAAATGTCTTATAAAAAAGACAAGAAAAAATTTTTAATAGAGTCTTATAATTAAAAACGTACATAATAATAAATAAAAGTGTTTTAATAAATAATACATATATTAATTTTATCATTAAAATTAATACATCTAATAATTTTCTTAAAAATTACAGAAAATTCAAATAAAAGACGGAAAAAATAGGGGAATTTTCATCAACTAATTTAATAGATGAAATTTCATCGTTAGAAAATAAATAAATAAATGAGACGTGGAAAATTAGAATTCGCATCTATAAAATCACTTATCTCTGTACAACTATAAACTAAAGTGACTTATGGAGAGATAATAGATCTTGGTGTTTTAGTTCATATAAAATGCATAAAATGCAAATAAATATAGTTAAAACGGCATGGTTGTTATTAGCGTTAGAACCATGGCAACAATAACTCGACCGCACATTCTTCTGCATTCTCGTGCTCCATCACTCAATCTCAAGCTCAATTCTTCATCATCATTTCTCCGCCACCAAAAACTCCCAAATTCGTTACCCTTCACTCGTCGACGTAGCTTCTGCTCCGCCAATTCAACGTCTCACAAATCCGAATCTGTTTCCATCGTAAACGACCTTCTTGATTATCTCAACGAATCGTGGACGCATTTCCACGCCACAGGTCCGTCGTTTTTTTCTCCAAAATTCCAGAAATACCCCTCGTCCTTTCGGAATTAACCTTTCCGTTTCCTGCGCAGCGGAGGCGAAACGGCAATTACTCGCCGCCGGTTTTCACCTTCTTAACGAGAACGAAGAATGGAACCTCAAACCAGGTGGACGCTACTTCTTCACTCGCAACATGTCTTGTTTGGTTGCTTTTGCAGTGGGAGAAAAGTGAGTTCAGTTATTTGAGATTTACTATTTGTTTGTGTAGTTTATGACATTGTTATTAGAGTGAATATGTAAATTGGTTCTCGAAATTGTATGCATTGCTCAAAATAGTATAGAGCGAATTCGCAAGTACATCCTGGAATTGTAGTAAAATGTATGTCAAAACAGTCTCCAAGTAGATTCCATGTAAATGCCACCATATTAGGGACTAATTTGTCTATGAAATTTAGGTCAAGACTAATTTTCCAATAATTAGCCTATGCACAGTTGTAATTACACAAATATTATTAAGAAAAATCATGCTAAACTTTTATGTAATGTCAATGTTAGTGAAAATAAATATGAAATAACTTACACTCCAATTAATTCCATAGTTCTGCCAATAATATCTATGTCTCCAAACTATTACAAATTTTTATATAAAGAGAAACTATACCATGTTTACAACACACTCACAACTTTAATGCTCAGAAACTAAACTATTTTTCTCTCTTGTTTTTCTCTTTTTAATTCTAGAGTTCAGCCAATAATGTCTACGTCTCCAAACTGCTACAAATTTTTATATAAAGAGAAACTATATCGTGTTTACAACACACTCAAAACACTCACAACCTTAATGCCCAGAAACTAAACTATTTCTCTATCTTGTTTTTCTCTTTTTTTTCTTTACTTCTTGCTAGCTCTAATTATGATTTATTATTTTGTTTTACTTTTGGCTTAATTTATAAGAAGCATGGGAGGCTAGGCTTCGTTGCTTTCTATTCTTATAATTATGCTTCTCTATTTATGGTTTTGTAGAATTTTTAAAAGTTAGAAAGCTAGTCATTAATTGTTTGTAGACTTTTTCAGAAATCTCTCAATTAAAACTGATTTCTATCTGTCTTCCCACCTTAATCATTGCAACAACCTTCTCTGATATTTTATTCTAGTAGGTCAACTGAAGTTGAACACAACTTGAGTTTGTCAATGGTCACCATCTTTGTTAACATGTCTGATGGAAAGAGATAAAACTCTCGCATAATAGAATTTTCAATTGTGTACATATGTGCACATAAGTGGTCAAGGTAGGAATAAGTTTGATTTGAAATCAAAGAACAAAAAGATGTTTCGTAATAGAGATGTGATTTTCAATGAAAGAGCGATGTACAAAGACAAGGATAATACATATATCGACAACTCAAAAATGAATGGGCCAGATAATGCAATGCCGACCACCGTTGTTCTTTCAAGAGATATCACTCCAGCTATATCATTTTACTACTTTATGTCGATGATATGTTAATAGCAGGTTTAATTATGGATGAAGTCAAAAACTTGAAAGTGCAATTGTCAAAAGAATTTTACATGAAGGATTTGAGTCTAGCAATGAGGATTCTTGGAATGCAAGGAGTTATCGGTACATGTATTATGCTTGTCCTTGTACATCGCTCTTTCATTGAAGATCACATCTCTACTACGGATCATCTTTCTGTTATCGTAATCTCATAGGCGATAGCCAAACTCATCCTCACCATAATCAATGAAAATGCATTTCTTTGATTTTGGATCAAGCTTATTCCTGCCTCGATCATTTGTGTGCACATATGCTACACAATCGAAAACTCTAAAATATGATAATTTTACCTCTTTCCCATCAGACACGTTAACGAAGGTGGTGACCATTGATAAACTAAAGTTGTGTTCAACTTCAGTTGGCCTACTCGAATAAAAAACTAGAAAAGGTTGTTGTATTGATTGAGGTGTGAAGACAGATTGAAATAAGTCTTCAAGTGAATGATTGTTGAAAAACTCTAGAATTTCCACCGTTCTAACTTTTTAAAATACCACAACACCATAAATGGAGAAGCATAATTATAAAAAACAACGGAGGCTAGCCTCCCATGTTTTCTATAAATTAAGTCAAAAGTAAAACAACATAATAATACAATTCAGAGCCAGCAAGAAGTAAAGAAAAATAGTTTAACTTCTAGGCATTTGGATTGTGAATGTGTTGTAAACACAATATATTTTCTATTTCTATAATGATCTGCAGCAGTCTGGAGACGTAGACATTATTGGGCGAACTCTGTAATCAATTGGTGTGTCACTTATTCCATATTTATTTTCTCTAACACAATATGACATTACATAAAAGTTTAGCATGATTTTTCTTTAACAACAAAGCTAAATTTCTTAGGCAAATTAGTCTTTAGCGAACTAGCACTAATGTGAAATCAACGTGCAATGAGATACGTCTGGTTAATGTGGCACATCATAGCTTTTGACGTTAGAAATGAACTGAAGGACCATTTTGAATGTTTTACAATTTTGGAAATGTATTTGTCAATTTGCATAAATAAATTACTATATGACAAATGCTAACAGTTTTGAAAAACAACTTGCCTATTCACTCTTATTATTACTATTTGATGATGGAATGGAACTTCTTTGTTGAAGGTACGATGTAGGTAATGGTTTTTATGCGATAGCGGCACATACGGATAGTCCATGTCTGAAACTGAAACCAAAAACGGCGTCGTTGAAGTCTTCTTATATGATGGTAAATGTTCAGACTTATGGAGGGGGATTATGGCATACTTGGTTTGATAGGGATTTGAGTGTTGCAGGGAGAGTCATTCTTAGAAGAAGTGATAGTTCTTTTTTTCATAAGCTTGTCAAAGTCAACAGACCCATTTTGCGGATTCCCACTCTGGCCATTCATCTTAACCGGTACTATTAATATAACTCATTTTCATGTTTCTTACTTCAATTACAACTCCTATTTGCACTTAGGCCTCTTGATGTGGGAGAGGAGGTCCTCATCACCTCATTGGATTGTGACTTGTTTGAGCTTAACTGATGATTCCGTCTTTCTTACTTTAATTACAACTCCTAGTTGCACTAAGAGCCTGTTAGAATTTACTTATTTGAGTTTATCCACTGATATAAACACTTGTTGTGACTATTTGAGAGAGCTTATGGAAATTGCTAATGATATGTCCATAAGTTGTTTTCGGTTTACTTACATAAGTTCTTCATCTTAGCTTGTGAAAACAACTTATATGTTGTAGCTTATATGAAAAACAGTTGACTTTATTTTATCTTTTGCTATAGAAATAGTTTATACATAATCACTAATATGGTAAATGCTTAATTAATCTATTTATCAAAGCAGGTCCTAACACTTGCTAACTATCACCATCATGTTGATACATTCATCAAATGTAACATTATGGTCCAATGAGATTAACTCTTCTAAATGGAGTAGCAATCTAAATTACTAATGGGAAATTTGAGGGTTGATATTTCATTGCCCCTTTGATTTGTTATGCATGTATAAGTAACACAATCATTGATTTATTCATCGATGGTTAATTACTTACTTTAAAGGAGCAAAATCTGATTTTCAATGATATCATTTGTCTATCGTTTGCATAAATATTTTCAGTTAATGATCCGCAATCACTATCAAACATCTGTACTATTATTGATGGAAATATCTGGATTTTTCTATGCGGCCCTAGTATTTTTGGCTCATTACTTCTTTACTATATGTTAATGTTCTGCCACAAAGACATGCAGGCTAGCAGATTCTATTGCCGTCTCATATTTGCTTCATTGTTTAGCACAGTGAACCAGGATGGTTTCAAACCAAATCTTGAGACTCATCTTCTTCCTTTACTCTCGATGAAACTTGAGGACAATTCTTCCGAGTCAAAAGAGAAGACTGCTGCATTGTCATCCAAAGCTTCTCATCATCCACTGCTTATGCAGGTATGTAATTTTTTTCTTCTTTTGGGTTAAGTTTGAATTTGAAGTACTCTTGAAAAGTATGAACTTTGAATGGATTCAAACTAATTGTGCTTCATTTGAATATTGCTATTGTAACCGTTAGAGGAGGACAGTAGTAAACTATGGATACCAATAATTGGGTACGTGGGGGGGTATACTTAGTCGGTACGTTATCGGTACACTATCAATAATTTTTTACCTAGCCTATTTAAAAAAATAATAAATATAATATAAAATATATTACAAAACTAAAATTTACTAATGTTACATGGTGTTCAGTAAAGCTTTTAACAAACACATGTGTAAAAACAGTCCCACATCGGGTAGTTCATAAACATTAGAGTGGAGAATTGTTTATAAAAATGATAAGCACATCACTTCTCGCAAGTAAAGTGGTAGTAAATAAAGCACGTTGAGGTGACGATTCCATCCACAACTATTGTTCTCTTGTTTGTTTCCCATTCTCTCTTCCTAGTACAGTGAGCAGAAGAAAGAAAATTAAAATCAAATTTACTGTTTGCCAAATATAAATTGAAACGACTTTATACTATAGCTATTGTAATACTGGATAGATATATATGCATGATATTATTGGTTTGCCCACGGCTATATATCAGTATGCTACTATAGGGTAGAATTCTGTTTTCACAGTACATTCGTGAGTTGGTATTGATCAGTTTTGTGAGTTGGTATTGATCAGTTTTGTCAAATATTGGTCATGGCTGTATGAGCGGAGGGAGGAGGAGACCCATAGGTGCCATGGCCTCTCCCCATGTTTTTAGATTTTATAAACTAACATATAATACTTTTAGACTATTTCCTTTTTAGTTTTGGCTTTTAGACTATTTCCTTTTTAGTTTTGGTTCCATTATATATATATATATATATATATATATATATATATATATATATATATATATATATATATATATATTCCTTTTTAGTTTTGGTTCCATTATATATATATATATATATATATATATATATATATATATATATATATATATATATATATATATATATATATATATATATATATATATATATATATATATATATATATATATATATATATATATATATATATATATATATTCCTTTTTAGTTATATATATATATATATATATATATATATATATATATATATATATATATATATATATATATATATATATTGGCTCATATATATATTGGCTCATATATATATATTTTATATTGGCTCATTAAGAATTACATGATTTATTTTTTGGCATTTATCTTTTCATTTTTTAGTTAATTCTTATCATATTTTTTATTAAATTTAATATTTATGTTCATTTAGTTGAGTTAAAATAATGTGTGAAAAAAATATTATTGACTCATTTTTTATGATAAAAGAAAGCGTGATTTATAGAACATTGTCTTATGCGTCAATTTTTGAGTGTATTTGAATGGGTGTAATAGGATAGAACATTTCAAAATGAAATGCGATCACCATTCATTTTTTAAAAGTAAGCTGCCTTATTTTATTCAATTTAGCTTCATTCTACTCTATGCCATGTATTCAAATATATCCTAAATTTAGAGTAATATTAACCATGTTTGAGAAATTAGTTTTTTAGAGTAATTATATTGTATTAATTGTTAAGCATATATCTAAACTATTTCCTATAATTTATCTGTGTTGAATAATGAGAGAACAAGAGGATGGTTGAATTGAATCTGTGTGTTTGAATTACATATTGGAGCTCATTATATATAATAGGAGGCATAAATGTCATAATAATTACATAATATTTTATAATAATTACATAATATTCTATTTTCTATTTACATGATATCCTAATTACTTTCAGAATATTCTATTTATATAATATGGAATATTCCGATATCTAATACTCCCCCCTCAAGCTGGAGCATATATGTCATATGCACCAAGCTTGTTACAAATATAATTAATTCGAGGACCTCTCAAAGGTTTAGTGAAAACATCAACTAACTGATCATTTGAATTGACAAAACTAGTGCTGACATTTCTAGATAAAATCTTCTCTCTGATGAAATGACAATCAATTTCAATGTGTTTGATTCTCTCATGGAACACTGGATTTGATGTAATATGCAGAGCTGTCTGATTGTCACAAATAAGTGTCATCTGTGAAACATCCCCGAATCTCAGTTCGTGAAGCAATTGTTTAAGCCATATAAGCTCACAGGTTGCCACTACACTTTGTTTCTTACTCTTCCAGGAAATTAAGTTACCACCAAAGAAAACACAATAACCTGAGGTGGATCTCCTATCAGAAGGAGAACCTGCCCAATCTGCATCTGAGTATCCTACAACTCGAGTGTGTCCCTTGTCTTCATAGAGTAAGCCTTTTCCTGGAGCTCCTTTAATATATTTCAAGATGCGAATCACAACTTCCCAATGCCCCTTCACAAGGAGAGTTAAGAAATTGACTTACCACACTAACAGGAAATGAAATATCTGAGCGAGTAACAGTGAGGTAATTCAGTTTTCCAACTAATCTTCTATATTTTCCAGGATCGGAGAGTGGCTCCCCCTGAGCTGGCATAAGTTTAGCATTGGGATCCATCGGAGTGTCAACTGACTTGGAATTTAACAGTCTTGTCTCCTCTAAAATATCCATAGCATACTTCCTTTGTGAAATCACAATCCCCCGTTTGGATTGGGCAATCTCTATGCCCGAGAAATAACGAAGTCTGCCGAGGTCTTTTGTCTGGAAATGATGACAAAGGTGTTGTTTTACCTGTGTGATTCCATGATGATCATTACCTGTAATGACAATGTCGTCCACATACACAATTAAGTAAATACACCCAACAACTGAGTGACGATAAAACACTGAATGATCAGCTTCACATCGCGTCATACCAAACTCTTGAATAACAGTGCTAAATCTCTCAAACCAAGCCCTAGGAGATTGCTTAAGTCCATACAAAGACTTATGAAGACGACAAACTAGTCCAGAAGACTCCCCCTGAGCAACAAACCAGGAGGTTGCTTCATATAAACTTCCTCACACAAATCACCATGGAGGAATGCGTTCTTGATGTCAAGCTGGTAAAGGGGCCAGTGGCGAATAGCTGCCATAGAGAGAAATAATCGAACCGAGGCCATTTTAGCCACGGGAGAGAAGGTGTCACCATAATCTAAGCCAAACAGCTGTGTATAACCTTTGGCCACTAAACGTGCCTTGAGACGATCAACTTGTCCATCAGGCCCAACTTTGACTGTGAAAATCCACCTGCAACCTACAACAGATTTCCCAAGAGGAAGAGGAAGAGGAACAAGGTCCCACGTGCCATTGTTCTGAAGAGCGCACATCTCATCAAGCATAGCTTGTTTCCAGCCAGGGTGAGATAAAACATCACCTACAGTCTTGGGAATAGACACAGAAGACAAAGAGGAAATACAAGCATAATGCAAAGAAGACAAGCGATGATAAGACAAATTAACATAATGAGGAGATGGATTACGAGTGGAACGTATACCTTTGCGAAGTGCAATTGGGAGATCAGTCTCAGGGGGCAGGACCGGAGGGGACGAAGTCTATGGTAATTTCTGCATTAGTTGATGGTAGTGGAGGTGGCCGTGGTCGACGCCGATAAACCTGCAAAGGAGCTAATGGGGGTGGATTGACTGGCAAAGGAGACAAAATTACGTTTGGTGGGGCAGTAGTGGGAGATGAAGAAAACATGGGTGATAGGGACTCAGACCCTGTAGACGTCCCAAAGTAAGGGACTGACTCAAAGAATGTGACATCAGCAGAGACGAAATATCGACGAAGAGACGAGGAGTAACATTTATATCCCTTTTGGGATCTTGTATAGCCTAAGAACACACACTTATGAGAACGAGCTGAGAGTTTGTCTCACCCAGGACTAACATTATGGACAAAACATGTAGACCCAAAGACTCTAGGCTGTAATGGGTGAAGAGACTGGTGAGGAAATAGAATAGAGTGAGGGATCTGATTGTTGAGGACAGATGATGGCATCCTATTTATGAGATAACAAGCCGTAAGGACAACATCACCCCAAAAATGTTGAGGAACATTATTGTGAAGTAAGAGTGTCCTAGTGGTTTCAACTAGGTGTCTATTTTTATGTTCAGTGACTCCGTTTTGTTGTGGTGTGTGAGCACAAGACGTTTGGTGAAGCATACCGTTAGTAGCCATGAAGCATACCGTTATATAATATGAAATATTCCGATATCTAACAATCTGAAATACTCATTTTATTATTATAAGCATGGACTATATTTTTATTTTGGCCATGTAGCATAAATTTCCTAGTTCCACCCCTGCAGATTGCGATGACGAATTTTGCAGCACCAGTTTTTTGGCTTTCCACCATAGTCTGCCATACGCGATTAGTAACACTGTCTTAGACTCTTCAGTTTTGTAACTGATATTAAATTAGTAGAAGAGTTAGTGGGTAATTATTAGAATTATTATATTATTAATTAAGAGTGTTTAGATCTAGAGTAAATAAGGAAGACATTGAGGAATTGATCATCATGGAATTGGATAGGAAAAAGACCATTTTGACATTTAGGAAGTGCATACCCTCAAAGTTTTGCAATATCATTCCATAATCAAAGGGAATTTTTCTATTTCTTATTCTATATCAGTTGGTTTCTATCCCACCGATATTGATGATGGTAAATGAAACATTATAGGACCCGTCAAATAACAGTTCCTGTACTTGTGATTTCGTAGTCTCAAGATTGTAGACAACTTAAAATTTATATATTGAATTTGAATGGTGCTAACCTGGGTCTTAGGAAGGGTAGTAGTTAAGAATCAAGATTTAGAAATTTATTATTTATTGGAAATTACAACATTCAATGCATTACTAATTTCAAAACCTACACTTCCCCCACCAAAAAAACTGTGATTTTCTTAACCAGTGTCGTAGCATTTTCCTTTATACATATTTTTAATTTTTAAGTCCATTGCAATTTATTAATCTACTGAATTGGTTGCATTCGGTATCTTCTTTTGAGATGAATACAAATATGCTGTAAATATTCAGGCGTAGAAAGGGGTGATTGCATTGAGGGTAGGGACTGTTGACCAATATTTTTTTTACTTGCTTTCATGTTTTATATAAAAGAGTATATTAAATGGACTTAAAAGATTTAGGCAGTTATAAACAAATGATAAAAGAGGCAGCTAAGAGCATTATATGGAATTGATAGCTTCAGGGTAAATACCAGTGATCTAGGCAAGACGCAATGATGAAACATGAATTCATGTGTACATGGCTGCACATGGCCAATTTGATATTATCTCACTCTTTGAGTTTTTCTCCTATCCTTTTTTATAAGATCCTCTTCAACTTTCAAAATGCATTAATTATTTTTTTTCAAACTTACTCTTAATTATATTATATATTTTCTATAATCGGTAATAAATACAGTTACAAACACATTAACTATTTCTTTCTTCTAAGGATAAATTTGTAAAATTATACGAAATAGTCAATAAATTTATTACTCTGACAAACTTTCTTAATTTTCCCAATTTATTCAACAAAGTCTTATATTTAGGGATGGTGGTAGTATAACATAGCCACAATTATTATGTTGGATATCCGAAAAAGCTACCAAGTCAAATTGGTTGATCTCTTCGTGTTTTAGTGATTAAAACGGATATCATGTGTCATAGTGAAATGGAATTGTACACGCATGTCTGTGTGAGAGAATTTCTAAAATAATAATAAATTGAATGATTGTATTATTTGAATTAATAATATAAATATTATATTCAAATTTTTTATTTATCAATTGGATGGTCCGTGGTGATTATTGTTGGTGTAATGTGCATGTCATTGGTTATCTTTTATTTAGGATCAGTTGCAACTTATAAATAAATCATTGCTAATCTTATGCAAAACGTTGTTGATTTTATAAGTTGTAATCAAAACAGTGCAATACCTTTTCTTAAGAGATATTTCTGTTTTCAAACAGATGTGAACTTCATTATAAATAAGAGGTTCTTGGCACAATGGAAAAGAACACAAAAACCAGTCTCAAATTATTTTCTCATACTAAATCATCTTTCGCCTCTCTAATGCATGAGAGCAAGTAAAAGAAATATTGTTCTATAAAATACTATCAAAGATACGCTTAGAGAGATTGTGCAATTCTCTTTAAGGATTCCAATGTTTTCCGCAGGAAATTCACCGATAAACACTTTTGCATCAAACATACAAAGATTGGTGGGAGCGAATTGTTCCTTAAGCTTAGTGTGGAAACATGCTGTAAGTTTAAGATTGCGCCTAAGAGGGGGGTGAATTAGGTGGTGGTCGATTTTTGATTTATTTTACACTTTCTGGTTTTGTTTTAGTGCTATGGAAAACGGTAAAGTGCAGAAAGTAAAGAGACACGGAGATTTATCCTGGTTCCTTCCACACCCCGGAAGTACGTCCAGTCCCCTTGCAAACACGAAAGAGATTTCACTATTTTGTTAGAACTTTTACAAGACTCTTCCTAGTCTTATCAACTAAAGACACTAACAAATACCAAGAACACCCTCTTGGATTTCCAATAAGTCTCTTGAGAACAATCCTCTCAAAAGATACCTCTTGTTTCCAACAATGGACAACAAGGTACAAAAGTATTCTAATACTTAATTCCAACAATCCTGGAAATAAGTTACACTTAGTATAATTCTATGAAATATGATTTCTTGAAAGATGTTGATCACATAGAGTGACTTCAATGAAGTTTCTTCTTTCTCCTCTTAGGCGCAATCTTAAACTTACACATGCACTTTGGAATTTTATTGAGCAAATTTATTTCTATATTTTCATCTCCAAGAAGGAGGAAAAACACGATTCAACATATGTCATAAATCACAAGACTCAACACATTTTGTCCTAGTCACATATGCCATAAATCACAAGACTCAACAATATAAGCAGAAATCACATTATTATTATTATTATTATTATTATTATTATTATTATTATTATTATTATTATTATTATTATTATTAATAACAATATTACACATGAACATATTCTCACAAAGATAGCCTTTCCCCACAAATATCTCCCCTTTAAAGAGAATAAATTTATCTCCCTCAAATACAGATTTGAAACCATACTTATTGAGTAATGGTACAAAAATCAAGTTTTTTCTAACTTCAGGAACATAAAATACATCTTTAAGAGTGAGTATTTTTTCAGACGTGAATTCAGTCTCTACTGATCCTTTTCCTTTTACTTGGATAGTAGAAGCATTTCTCATGTACAAAACACTACGATCTTCTTCATTAATGGTCTTGAATAGTTCTTTATTTTTGCACACATGACGGGTAGCACCTGAGTCTATCCACCAAGAATTAACATCTCCTATCATGTTGATTTCATAAATGACAACAACAAGATTGTCTTTTGTTGCTTTTGAATTCTTTTCTTTGTTTTCTCTTTTCAAGAACCTGCACTCATTTTTAAAGTGTCCTGGTTTTTCACAATGATAACAACTTCTTTTATTTTTCTTTCTATAGTTGTTATTTACCATTATGATTTTCATGAGATTTTACGAAATCTCGTTTCCTTTTCATGGAAGTTTTACTTGACTTTCCTTCCTCCATCACATGGACCTTCTCTTGAGTAAATTGGCTTTTAGTATCATCTTGTTTTCGATACTCTTCTTCTAAACGAAGGTGATTACCCAATTGTTCAAGAGAAACGTCCTCCTTCTTATGGAGGATATAATTATAGTTTCATCCATGTGCATATTGTGTTTGTAATTATTGAGAATACGTTCAATTTCGTGCATTTGTTCCATATCAGATCTACCATCTATCATTTTATAATTATTAAATTGAGAAACAAGAAACTTCTTACTTGTAGCGTCTTCTTGCATGTATCTTGATTTCAATTTCTCCCATATTTCTTTTGCGGAGTTACTGCTCTGATAAATGTCGAACAACGAATCGCACATACCATTGAGGATGTGTCCCATGCATATATAATCATCATTGTCCCACTTTTGTCTCTCTCTAATTTCAACAATTGTTTCATCTTCTTTTTCTTCCGGTTTTGGAATGTTAAGGACATACACCACTTTCAATATTGTGAGAAGGAATTTCATTTTCTCTGCCAATGAATAAAATTCCCTCCATCGAACTTCTCTAATTTCACAAAATTAGAAGTCATCTCTTTTAGTGAAGCAGCCATTGAATAAAATAATTGTTCCTTAAGATTGTTAGATATTTTGTTTTTGGGCTGCTGCAAAACTAAGAATAAATGGAGATGAAAATAGAGAAATAAATTTGCTCGATGAAAATTCCAAAACGTATGTTTTCACACTAAGTTTAAGGAACAATTCATCTCCACCAATCTTTGTATGTTGGATCAAAAGGGTTTACTGGCGAATTTCCTACAGGATATTTTAGAATCCTTAAAGAGAATTGCACAATCTCTCTAAGCGTATCTTTGATAGTATTTTAGAGAAGAATATTTTTTTTACTTGCTCTCATGCATTAGAGAAGAGAAAGATGATTTAGTATGAGAAAATAATTTGAAACTGGTTTTTTGTGTTCTTTTCCATCGTGCCAAGAACCTCTTATTTATAATGTAGTTCACATCTGGTTGAAAACAGAAACATCTCTTAGAAAAAGGTATTACACTGTTTTGATTACAACGTATGAAAAGTAACAACGTTTTGCATAAAATTAACAATGATTTGTTTATAAGTTGCAACTGTTCCTAAATAAAAAGTAACCAATGACATGTCACATTACACCAATAATAATCACCGCATACCATCCAATTGAGAGATGAAAAATCTGAATATAATGTTTATATTATTAATTCAAATAATACAATTATTTAATTTATTATTATTTTGAAAATTCTCTCACAGCCTGTCTCGATTTTAACTACTTGAGATTTTGAATGTAGCTTACTTAACTTTTGATTATTGCTTACTATTCTCTATAATAGCCCTTGACTTTAATTTTTAGATATTGTCAGAGGAGTTGAAATGTGAAGTTAATGACATAGTGAGTATTGAACTGAATGTTTGTGATACTCAACCTAGCTGCCTTGGAGGTGGAAACAATGAATTCATATATTCTGGAAGATTAGATAATCTGGCTTCAAGTTATTGTGCATTAAGGGCACTTATTGACTCGAGTGAATCTCCCGGTGACTTAGCAAATGAACATGCAATTCGGATGGTTGCTCTATTTGACAATGAGGAGGTACTTTTCTTCTTTTTAGTTTGTATGCATTTTGTTTTATTAGATTCCCGATTAATTGTTCTAAATTGAATCGGAATGCCTGTGGTTTATCAAAAGCACCAAATAAATGTCTCTAAATGCAAGGTACTATATGAATCGGAATGCCTGTGGTTTATCAAAAGCACCAAATAGATGTCTCTAAATACAAGGCAAGTAAGACAAAATAGGGTATCGCTCCAGCTATCTCTATGTTATCAGCATATACCATCTTGCCAAAATACTACCATTAGTCTGCTAGTAGAAGAATTTGATCATCATAAGTGCGGGTCTTCAATCTAAAAATAAGAACAGTCTCACTTAATCATCAATCCGTATAAAAGTCTTGAGCCAATAAACGTATATGTGCATCCTCTGAGAAGAAAAGTATTATAGTTGTTCTGAATTTGATACAACAATAACAATCGCCCCATTAAGGGGGGCTGGTTGCATGTATCAAATGACGCTATAAAGGTATGCCGTGTAATAGGTCCAAAGATAATAACTCCCCTCGCATTTTTGTTGGTAGTTTGACCTATAGTTTTTCTTGGTCCTTCTCTTAAGAAGTTTGTGATAAAATTTTCCTTTAAGTTTGAGTTTATCTTTTATAACATGTCACACTCATGACATTTCTCATACACCCTACTCGGATCCAATACTTGACATTCTTCCATTCACTTGTATGATGGACCCAAGGTACTTAAAAGTAAACACAACATCATTGGTAATACAACATCATCGGTAATATGTATGTTCTAATTTTATATTTACGCTAGCATTTCTTTGTTATATTCCTTATACTTAACTTTAAAGATCAAAAGATACGAGTTCAAAGTTAAAATCGGCGCACAGTTATACAACAACAACAACAACTAAGCTTTATCTCACTAAGTGGGGTTGGCTATATAAATTAACTTTGTCATAATGTTCTATCCAAAACCATATTTTTATTCAAATTGCTAATCTCGAAATCTTTTTTAATAACTTTTTTTACAGTTTTCCTAGATCTTCGTCTTGCTCTACCTTTAGCTATTTGACTCATTTCCATCTGATCTACTCTTCTCATTATAGAATTTATAGATCTTCTCTCTATATGTCTAAACTATCGAAGTCTATTTTCTACCATCTTTTCTATTATAGGTGATACTCCAACAATCTCTCTAATATTGTCATTTCTAATCTTATCATGTTTAGTCTTACCACACATCCAACGCAACATCCTCACATCTGCTACACTTACTTTATTTTCGTGTTGATTTTTAAGCGTCCAACATTCTGTCTCATACAACATCGCAGGTCTCACTGTAGTCCGATAAAATTTTCCCTTCAACTTCAGCAGTACCTTTCTAACACATAAAATCTCTGGAGCCCTCTTCCATTTCAACCACGCAGCTTGAATTTGATGGTTTACATTCCCTTCTATTTCTCCATTGTTTTGTATTACGGATTCAAGGTATTTAAATCGCGTGACTTGTGGGATGATATGCTCTCCAACTTTCACCTGACTAGAAATGCTTCTCCTTTTGTTGAACTTACATTCCATATATTCTGTCTTACTTCTTTTTAGGCAAAAGTCATGCGTTTCTAAAGCTCGTCTCCAACCTCTCATTTAAATCTTCCTTCGACTCTTCAAGTAGGATTATATCATTTGCAATAAACACGCATCTCGGTGCTAGCTCTTCGATATCCTCCATAAATACATCCAAAATTAAAGTAAAAAGATAAGAACTTAAGAATGAACCTCAGTGAAAATCTATTGTAATGAGGAAATCCTCTAGTCAACCGTTGTTCTCATAATAATTGCTTTATATTTGATAAATATCTCGTTGTTATTATTATGTACAAGAAAGACTACATCATTAAATCATTGCAATAAATCATTCTTTCAAATGGATGGAAATAAATTCATATCAATCATTGGTATAGTGGGGTTCTTTACACTCACAATAAATCAAATTAATTCTTTTATGATATATCCTATTCACGTGTTGGTATATTGAATCTACTTTTTTGTAATGTTATTTTTCCGTTGATTTCTTAATCCTACATCTAACTACTTTTATATAGGTGGGTTCAGATTCTGCTCAAGGAGCTGGTGCACCCACCATGTTTCAGGCCATGAGACGGATAGTTGCAAGCTTGGCAAATAACAATGTTGGTGAAGGCTCTTTTGAGCGAACTATTCGCCAATCATTTCTTGGTATATCCTCCTCTTGCAAATTTGTGACAAATGCATGAACATAAGGGTTGACACCATGAGTGTAATTCCAATATTATGGGTTGATTGCCAACTTCGGTTGTCAATCTTCTGTTAGTAACTTAGTAGGTCAACTAGCATTGCTAACTAGAGTAGTTCATCGAAAGGCTTTGATTGTTGATTTGGGTTTGGAACTTTTTGGGTAGTGATCTTATCGGTTGATTAGAATTTGAAGTGGGTCAGAGATTTCGATTTCAATGCTGGAAATGAGGAGGAAGAGGTGTACCTACAAGGTACTCAGATGCTAAAGTCAATAGGAGCACAAAGAGATACAAGAGAGAGTTTAGGGTTTTATTGATGAATATTAGATATCTGACCCTCACATGTGTGAGGGTTTATATAATGTCTCCGGCGCTTAGTTATTGGTCCTTATTTTTGGGCCTAGATATGTGAGTCCTTAAAAATAGGTAACTGTTAGGACTTGGTCAAAACGTGCAGTCGTGTCCGTAACTAGCCGTTGCGTCGAGCAAGGATGAGATGACGGGCGGAAGCGTTTATGACTGTTTCCTGAGTGTCTGCTCTACGTGTGTCGAGCTGACCGGGGAGGAAGCTGGTCGTTATGACGAGCTGAGAGGTGCTCACGAGAAAAGATGATTCTGGTCATTCCTGGGTGGCTGTCCTCGTGTGGCTGGCAGGATAAGGACTAGCATGTTTGAGCGGACAGATATGGTCTTGTTAGTCCTGGGGGGACAACCGATCACGTGTCTCCGACCGAGGGGCAGAAGCAGCTGCAGACAGAGGTGCTGCTGAGGGCAGCGGTGGTCTTATTGGTCCTGGGGGGACAGCCGACCACGTGTCCTTGACCGAGGGGCAGAAGCAGTTGCGGGCAGAGGTGCTGCTGAGGACAGTGGTAGTCACGTTGGTCTTGGGGAGACAACTGACCATGTGTCTCCGGTTGAGGGGCAGAGGGGAAAGGTGTCCTTTGTCTGCTCCAATTGATTGGACCAAATTTGTTGCGTCATCTTGGATGTAGAAGTGGATTGGGTCATGTCTAGGCATTTGGGTAAACCAGAACAGAAGCCCCCCAAATCGTTGCTTCTAGGCATATGAGTGATGACTTAGAGCCAGCCCGTGTGCCGAGGAGGAAAACACGTTGGCACTTGTTGTTCGCGACGGGGACGTTTCGTGATCTTTACGAGGACATGCTCGTACGTGATATATTGTTATTTATTAGGTTTATGCATGTTTGTATGCTTGTCTGACTAAGACGTTTAATTTTGATTAAGAGTTTCGTGGGTTTGCTCGTTAGTATTTGAGTCACCCAGTGTGGGTGACTGGTCGAACGACCAGGGTGATCACCTGGCATGGGCCGGAACTCAGGTCTCGTTTTGAGGGTCCGAGCTCGGCGGCGTAAATTTCTCATCGCGAGCTGGGTGTTCTGCGACGACGGTGGAGCTCGTTTGAGTTTTCTACGCCAGGCTAAGAATTTGCTCGTTAAAAGAGTTGCGGCTTGCCTCTTTGTTTAATTTAGAGTGTCATGCTTGTACCTGGGCATGCACATGTGGTCGGGCAAACTGTGTTCGTTGTCTCGACGAGACACGCCGACTGTATCAGTGTCTTAACTGTAATATTGCCTTAGTTTTTTGGCGTTCCAAGGTCGAGCAAGTTGTTTCCTGTGCAGGTTTTCGAGATAGTATGTCCCATTTCCGTTTTTGCCCGGACACGATAGTATCTCTTGGATGACGGACTTGATCCGCCTCTCTTCTTCGTTCTCGCGAGCTTCGACAAATGTCTGCTCGGTGTTGCGTTCGCGGGGAACGTGTGTCTGCTCGGCAGCTGTGTTCGCGGGGAACATGTGCCTGCTCAGACGTTGTGTTCGCGGGGAACATATGCCTGCTCGACAGTTGTGTTCGCGGGGAACACGTGCATGCTGAGCAGTTGTGTTCGTGGAGAACATGGTTTGTTTATGCGCTTCTCTCGTTAGGGAGGCTGGTGAGGTCATTTCTGCTGCGATGCCGAGCATAATTTGCGGTCACTTTCTCCTCATACTGGATGTACGCCTAGGCTTTGAGGAGGAGGGCGTCTAGTGTGGCCGGTGTTTCTATGCCAACTGCTTTGACAAAATCGCTGCAAGGGCGCAGCCTTCGCTCGAGCAAGTACTTTTTCATATTGTCAGTCGTGGAGACCTGAACGGCTTCTCTGTTGAACCTCTCGATGTATGCTCGGGGAGATTCTTTTTTCCTTGTATGATCGCTTCTAGCGAGGCCTCTGTCTTCGGATGACGACAAGAGGCAGTGAAGTGCCTTGCGAACATCTTCTCCAACTACTTCCATGAGGTGATGGATTCGTTGGGCAGGTTTTTGTACCAAGACATTGCTCTTTTTCTCAGAGTTGTTGGGAACAACCTGCACTTAAAGGCGCCCCTAACGCCTCGGTAGTCGAGCAGGGCGTCAATGTTCTCGACGTGCTCGTCAGGGTCAGTTGTCCCTATCATATGTTCCCAAGTTTAGGGGTTTTTCTAGTCCGACAGAGAGGAGAGCATCCATGATAGCCCGAGACAATGGACCGCGGGGGCCTTCCTCGTTGCTCCATTTCGGTGATGGTGGTGGAGAAAAGTTGTGCTTCCCTCGTCGGGGACAATTGTCTCGTCAAGGAGATGGGCTTCTCGATCTGCCCTCCGGTTTCTTGGCTATTAGGGAGAGTTGGTCTTCCGAGGAGGAGTGTGGTCACGCTTCTTTATGGCCAAGATATGAGTTGTTTCTTGCCACCGGCGATGATCATGTCGTCGGGGAGACAGGCTGTGTGATCTTTGTCGTTGGTGTCTCTGAGGGGGAGACTTTGACCGGCGAGCAATTTCCAACGCCCCAATCATCTCGCTTTGTTGGCAGATTAGGGAGTTGGTCTGGTTGAGAGCTGTGAGCAGGGCAGCCATAGCAGGGTCAGCATTGGGCGGAGCAGGGATTTCCTGCGTGTTCTCCGATGCTCCTTCTTGAGCTTTCTTGATCTTGTGAGCTTCGACATCGACGTCTTCAGCCTCGTCAAAGGATGGGGAGGCGGTGCGACCATCCCTCAATGGGATGACCTCATCAAGAAAGGGCATCCCGCAACAGTCATCTGCCTTGTAGACAGGGGAAATAATGGGTTTGTGAGCGTTGTTGTTGTCCTCAAAACTGGTCATGACAGGAATCTTGATTATCTGCTTTGATCTTTGGTTTTCGGGGAAAGAAAGATGGGGAGAGCAGGTTTCCCACAGACGGCGCCACTGATCTTACTGGTTGATCAAAATCTAAAGTGGGCCAGATACTTCGACTTCAATGCTGGAAATGAGGAGGAGGGGGTGTACCTGCAATGCACTCCGATGCTAAAGCCAGTAGGAGCACAAAGAGATACAAGAGAGAGTTTAGGGTTTTAGTGATGAATATTGGATATCTGACCCTCACATGTAAGGGTTTATATAATGTCCCCGACGCTTGGTCATTGGTTCCTATTTTTGAGTCTAGATATGCGGGTCCTTAAAAATAGGTAACTGTCAGGACTTGGTCAAAACGGGCAGTCGTGCCCGTAACTAGCTGTTGCGTCGAGCAAGGATGAGATGACGGACGAAAGCGTTTATGAGCGTTTTCTGGGTGTCTGCTCTACGTGTGTCGAGCAGATCGGGGAGTAAGCTGGCCGTTATGAAGAGCAGAGAGGTGCTCACGGGAAAAGATGATTCTGGCCATTCCTGAGTGGCTGTCCTCGTGCGGCTGACAGAATGAGGACTAACATGTTTGAGCGGACAAATATAGTCTTGTTGGTTCTGGGGGAACAACCGACCACGTGTTTCCGGCCGAGAGGCAAAAGCAGCTGTGGACAGAGGTGCTGCTGAGGGCAGTGGTGGTCTTATTGATCCTGGGGGGACAACCGAACACGTGTCTCTGACCAAGGGGCTGAAGCAGCTGCGGGCAGAGGTGTTGTTAAGGGCAGCGATGGTTATGTTGGTCCTGGAGGGACAACCGACCATGTGTCTCCGGTTGAAGGCCATCTTAAATGTAGAAGTGATTGGATCATGTCTAGACATTTGACTAGACCAGAACAGGTAGAGTTTGTAAAATTAATGTATTAAGTAAGAAAGGAGAGTATGGGATTGAAAATAGTGGCTGAAATTGATAAAAGAGGTCTCATAATCTGTTTCAATTTCAGCCACGGCAACCAATTGTTGCGAGACTTATATTTTATTAAGGGATGTAACTAAGGAAACAACCCTGATATTTATTTATTAATTTTGTTTCTGGAACTCTCTTCGGTTTACTAGATCTACTAGGGGTGCCAATCTAAATTTTTGGGTTCAAACCAAAATTTTAATTAAAAAAAATGGAAAGAGAGCTTATACCGAAGGATTTCATGAAAACGTGTTGATGATTTTGTCTTGCAACATGGAGAGTTTGTCATTAATTAGATGTCAAAAGTATGTAACAGTTCAATACTTCAATTTTGGATAACTGAGTATGGAAAATAGTGATTTAAATTGTCATATGAGCATTAGTAAATTTGATGTCCATAATTTATTGTCTTACATAATATTTTAAAAGGGACCACTAAATTACCTTCTGGATTCTGTTCCTAACAGTGTCTGCAGATATGGCCCATGGAGTTCATCCAAATTTTTCAGATAAGCATGAAGAACACCACCGACCGGAGTTGCAGAAAGGACTTGTTATTAAGTACAATGCAAACCAGCGCTATGCTACAAGTGGAATCACATCTTTTCTTTTCAAAGAAGTTGGGAAAATCCATAACCTTCCAACTCAGGCAATTCATCTCTATTATTTCCTTTTTTTTTTAAACACCTTATTCCTTTTAATGCAAATTATTTATCTAAATGAAATGCTTGGCAAAAAAGTCTTCAACTTTTTCTTGGAAGTTACCGTCGGTAGCTTTTCAAAATAATCTCTTGCAAGTAAAAGTGTTATTTATGCTTGTTATATGAGTTAATTGACGCGTCTGAATATTAATATTGTCTGCATACTGTAGGAATTTGTCGTTAGAAATGATATGGGATGCGGATCAACCATAGGTCCAATACTCGCTTCTGGAGTTGGCATCCGAACTGTTGACTGTGGGATTGCTCAACTGTCAATGCACAGGTATCAAATCATTTTAGGGAAAAGAAAAAAAATATAAAGGCCTATCTATATCATATCAAAACCTCTTGTGAAACCTTGTCATCTGTCCAGCCTTGTCCAAACAATATTAGAAGAAAGAACACTCTGAAAAATAAGCAAATGTTATTACTTTATTGTTCCAATTCATCCCTGACTCATTCCAAGAATATATAATATGAGTTGTCTGATTCTGCTTGTACTTGGTTTGCAGTATAAGAGAAATATGTGGGAAGGAAGATATAGACATTGCTTACAAGCATTTCAAAGCTTTCTATCAAAACTTTTCCAGCATAGACAAGATGCTGACTGTGGATGGCTGAGCTGTGTTGCTGAGTATGTGCATGGTACCACCCTAGTTGTGTTTTTGATGAGGAAGTGGTGAAGTGGAATCAAAACTAGACATCGGTTTTGCAATTGGTTTAGATTAGAGGAACAAAGTTGTCCTAAAACCTTAGCACATGAACTTTCTTGCCTGACATTTAGTTTGCTTGTGCAAGAGTTTTCTTTTACATATATGACTGACTTCAGGCCCTTTCTATTTATTCAGAAGGCATTTGTTGTTAATACATTAATAACAATTAGAGTTTTGGTTTTATTTGGTTACGCTTTGTGTTTTCTATTCAGATGTGTGCTCCGAAATTGTTTTTGGGGGGTGGGAGAAGTCCTCCAAAAAAAAGTGTGGTAAAAAATATAGGGGTTACTTTTATTGAAGGTAATTTAGTATTTTTAGTATATTGTTTATGTGGTCCTAGTTTGTGTGTATAAATAGACTAGTAATAGCTGTCTTTTAAATCTTAATCTTTTAAAATTTTGTAGCTGCCATTGCAGAGTAATAAATATATTCTCTCATTCTTTTTGTCTTCATCATCTTGTGCACTAACAATTGGTATCTAGAGCTCTGGTTTGGATTCACATGGAAACACGAGTGAAACGGTGAGGCGTTGTGTGATTGATTTTATTTTTTGAATTCGTGTTGAATCTTGAACGAAATCGTAATAGAATCACATTTTTCTGATTCTATGGGATTGGAAAACAATGTGTTTAGTGAGATCTGAGTGACTTGCACAAGGTTGAAGATGAACGGAAATGATAATCTGAGCACTAAACTTTCAGTGATCGATGGCAAGAACTAGAATTGTTGGATGATTCAGATGCGCGTGTTGTTCGGTGCTCAAGATATTCTTGAGCTTGTTACTGAGGGTTACGTTCTAGTTGTAGCGGATGCGACGGAAGAATAAAGAAACGCACAGAGAGACAAAAGGAAGAAAGATCAGAAGGCGTTCTACATTCATCAGTGTGTGGATGTGAACGTGTTTGAGAAAATCGTTGATTCAATGACGGCGAAGGCTGCGTGGGACACATTGGTTAGGTGTTACGGTGGTGACACATCAGTGAAGAAGGTGAAGCTTCAGTCCCTACTGTTGTACCCCAAAATTTGTCCTCCCATTTGACTCAACATATGTTCATTGAGATCCTCAACTTGCTCAAGGATTCCCAAGAGTTGACCAGACAAACTCTCTCCTAAAGCAATAAACCTTCAACTAGGGTTTCCATTTTCATCAAGAAGAGTGAGTCCCAAGGGCCTCATATGCTCTCCATAGTTCTAAGATATTCTCAAGACCATTCATGCCAAGTTTTATGCCTTGTACAAGAAGTTTTCCCAGTCAACTGATCAGATGCTTGAAAATCAACTATACTAGTCAACTGTGGTCCACATACAGTCAAACTTCAAGATTTTTGATCAACATCAACATTTTGAAGTAATGCCCATCATTTGATCTTTGTCCTCCTTGTACACATCAGTGAAGAAGGTGAAGCTTCAGTCCCTACTGTTGTACCCCAAAATTTGTCCTCCCATTTGACTCAACATATGTTCATTGAGATCCTCAACTTGCTCAAGGATTCCCAAGAATTGACCAGACAAACCCTCTCCTAAAGCAATGAACCTTCAACTAGGGTTTCCATTTTCATCAAGAAGAGTGAGTCCCAAGGGCCTCATATGCTCTCCATAGTTCTAAGATGTTCTCAAGACCATTCATGCCAAGTTTTATGCCTTGTACAAGAAGTTTGCCCAGTCAACTGATCAGATACTTGAAAATCAACTATACTAGTCAACTGTGGTCCACATACAGTCAAACTTCAAGATTTTTGATCAACATCAATATTTTGAAGCAATACCCATCATTTGATCAAGGGTTGATCATGATTCCCCAAGGAATGCCCCTAATTCATCAAAACTCAAAAGTTGTAAAATTAGGATTCCTCAAGAAAAAGTCAACTAAACTTTGACCAAGCATAACTTTTTCATATTTTATCAGAAATTTCTCATCCAAGGCTCATTTTGAAGAGAATTCAATTCCATACAACTCATCTTTAGTCCTCAAGTTCAAGAAATGCACTCATGGAAAGATATGAATTCAGACATTATAGGTCATTCCAAAAAGTCAACAAAAACACATTTTGGGTCAAAGCTCCTTACATGAACATGGAAGATCCAATTGAGATGAAACCAAAGAGGCTGCTTAGGGGATATCCTAAGCTTTCTAGAATGTCATGGATCACCCTCAAATAGTGAAAATTGAGCAAGTTATGACCATAGCAAGTTGGGAAATTTTGGTGAAATGAAGGAATTTCAATTTGAGTAATTTTGATATTTTTGACTTGTGGGCCATGGATTGAGAGTCCACACGTGCATTACACCTCAAATCAGCTTCTTACATCATTTGGTTGTGTTTTAATTTAATTATTTCAATTATTTTTTATTTAATTCATTAATAACGAAAAATAATTAAAATCAAATCAAATCTTTTGTACAAAGATTCAAATCCATTTGCCTTGACCTAAAAACACACTATATATTCCTCCATAATTTAGACCAAGAGGGATACGAAACCCTAGCCTTCAAAAGTGATCAAAATTTCCAAAGTTGTCAAGAAACTCCAAGGCTTCCAAACTCTCGATACAAGCCATCCTACTGCAAGATCTCACTGTCATTCATTCCCAGCAAGGAGATTGAGTAAGTTTGAGACGATCTTGAAGTCTCCAACCATGTAGAAAACCCGTTCATGGCATCTCCGGTTGCATAATATTTTAAATTTTGCATCTTTGTTTTTGCTTCGTTTTAAACCATATTAATGTTGTTAATGTGTTCCTGAGACGTTTGTGAACAAATCTGGATCATCTTCGTGTACCCATGCACGCAGAATATTGACCTGCCATGTTTGCTCGTGAGAATTTCCGATCGCGTGTTAGTGCCCAAACTGGCCAGTTTTTGGTCTTGATTTTGATCCCATTGAAATCACATGCCCTGAATTAGGGGGGTAAGGTCCCCCCATTGGATCTTTATTTGCGTTTTTTTGCAGGTTTTCATGGAGGAGGTGGCCGGAGAAGACGATCGAGCTAGGGCTCCGGCGCTTCTCCGGTGAGTCAAATGTTGAAGGCAGTTTGACTGTTGGCGTGGCAATTTCTTACATAATGATTGGCTCTTGAAATACTGACGCATTTATTTTTTGTTGATTGGGATTTAATGGTTTGCTTAACATATAATATTTTTAAGTGATTATGTTCATGAATTAACATCCAGCACAGTTGGCAAGGGAAGTGAACATGTGAAAGAGAGGACCTGGGTTCGATCCCAGGTCCATACCTTTTATGTTTTTTTGAATTCCTTATTTCAGATCCAACGTACTTCATTACCCAGCGTCCATCATACATCCTCAGATCTCACCGTCAGATCTATCTCCAGTCAGATCCAATGCATCAGAATTGCATCCACATGGTGCACCCTCTGAAGATAGCAACACGAAATCTCACGCAGGACAGTTGGGCCAACAAACTGGGCCTTGGCATATTCAGGCAGCACACCCCCTGGATTGCTTATAACATCAGGCCCACCTCTTTAAATTTTCTATTCTTTTTATTTGTTTTTCTTTTAATTTATTATTTTAATTACTTTCACAATAAAAATCATCTTTTTTAAAAATTAAATCATAAAATCAGAAAATTACAAAAATATTAGGTTTAGTTAATTTTTTCATAAAATATTTATTTGTATTTAATTAATTAGTTTAATTAGGTTAACTTAAACTTTTTTTTGGTAATTAAAATTTAATAGAAATTAGGTTAACTTAATTATTTTTTCCTTCCATAATTAAAATCAAATAGAATTAGGTTTTTTTTTATAATTAAAATTAATTTTTGGAAATTAATTATTTTAATTATTTCAACATTGGTTATTTTGTTAAATAAAATTAATTAGTAAATTATGTTTAACTTGCAAATTGCAACTATTTTTCTCAATAAAAAATACAAATTTTTTTTTTAATTAATTAGATTTCTTAGGCTTCTAATTTATTCCCGTCTTAACTTTCGCGCATTATTTTTCCTTATTTTATTAATTATTGTAATTGTTCCAAGTTTGTAATAGTTAATTAGGTTTACTATTTCACATTTATCATTTTCCCCGATTTTTGGTTATGTAATTCCCTCCCCAAGGCCTTGTAATAACTAGGATTTTAATTTCTCGCACTTTACTTTCCACAATTATAAACTGCCTAGATGTATGGATAATAGGATTGAATGGCAAGATAAATCAATTTAAAACGGTAGATAATCCTAATTGAGCAAAGATAATTAACTGGAAAAAACACACTTGCACCTGCTCACTCCTAGGATTTGCCCCATTTGGTTGCCTCGGAAATAATGGTCGCGTCCCTCGAACGTAGGGATACCTTAACAATGACCCGCGATTCAAAATCGTCATAAAGATCATAGTCCCTCCTTGTCCCTCGAGTTGCCTACGAGAAATGATCTTATGACGATAGTCCACTCGAAATGTTAAAGTATCCTTACTTGTTGCCTTCAGTGACCATTTCGCCCCTTTCGAATGTCCCTTAAACTCCAGCGATGGAGCTACCTACTCCTTAATAGTAGGATAGCACTGTCTAAAGGAAAATGAACAGACTTTTTTCGGGTAGGTAGATAGTTTCTAGGTACTTGCTCAAACAAACAAATTTCACACAAACACTTTCAAAACAATTTTTTTCAAAAACAACTTCGTCACACTCTTGAGGACAGATACAAGGGTTATCACGAAGTAAACAAAACTTTTCAAAACAAACACGCACAAACAATTTAAAAAATGAGAAAGTACCTAAGAGCCAGTGGAAAACCACAGATAGAAAGGGTGTTAACACCTTCCCTTTCTATAATCTACCCCCCGTACTCAGAAACTCTCCAAAAAATGTTTTTCTGTTCTTTTTCCTTTTCCTTTGTTGGATGAAATAAAAGTCGGCGGCGACTCTTGCTTATCGCGACATTT